TAAAGAAACATTAATTGAGGGACATTTTACAAATACCTGGTTAGTACACCTAAAAGCTGTCAAAATTATCAAAAATGAGAAAAATCAAAGAAGCTATAATAGCCAAGAGGAGTCTAAGAGACCATATGTCTAAAGGTAATGTGGAAATCTAAACGCAACCCTGGTTCCAGAAAAGAGACACAATGAAAAGCTGAGTAACTGAATAACTTGTGAACTTAGTTAATAATAACACATCAATATTGATTTATTAATTGTAATGAATGTTTGATACTACTGTAGGACATTGATAGAGAAAATGACATGTGGTATGGGAAACTTTATAGTATCTTTTTTTCCTATATATGAAAACTTTTCTGAAGAGTAATGTTTATTAAATTGAAATGTAAACGTATTACTATTTTCTATTCCACTAGTATATGACTATAATCCATTCCCTAGTGAATTTTGAGATATTTATGTAGTCCTGACACAGATACTAACATAGTTTGGCTCTGTGCCTCCACCCAAATCTCACCTCGAATTGTAATAATCCCCACATGTCATGTAAGGGACAAGATGGAAGGTAATTAAATCATGGGGGTGGGTTTTTCCTGTAATGTCCTCATGATAGTGAATAAGTCTCACCAGATCTGATGGTTTCATAAAGGCGAGTTCCCCTGTGCATTCTCTCTCTTCCCTGTTACCATGTAAAATGTGACTTTGTTCCTCCTTTGCCTTCTATTACAATTGTGAGACCTCCTCAGTCATGTGGAACTGTGAGTCAATAAATCCTCATTTATTTATAAATTCCCCAGTCTTCAGTGTGTCTTTATTGGCAGCGTCAGAACAGACTAACAGCAAATTGGTTCCAGTAGAGAGGGGTGCTGTTGTAAAGATACCCAAAAATTTGGAAATGACTTTGGAACTGGGTAACAGGCAGAGATTGGAATAGTTTGGAGGGCTCAGAAGAAGACGGGATTATGTGAGAAAGACTGGAACTTCCTAGATACTTGCTAAATGGCTTTTTGACCAAATGCTGCTCATCTCAGATGGAGATGAGAAACATGCTGGAAACTGGAATAAAGGTGACCCTTGCTATGTTTTAGCAAAGAGACTGGCTGCATTTTGCCCCTGCCATAGAGGTCTGTGAAACTTTGACATTGAAAGAGATGATTTAGGGTATCCTACAGAGGTGATTTGGGTGCTGTTAAAAGCATTTAGCTTTATGTATTCACAAAGATGTGGTTTGGAATTGGAACTTATGTTAAAAAGAGAAGCAGAGCATAAAAGTTTCAAAAAATTGCAGCCTGATGATGGAGTAGAAAAGACAAACCCATTTTCTGAGAAGAAATTCTAGCCAGCTGCAGAAATTTGCACAAGTAATGAGAAGTCAAATGTTGATCACCAGGACTATGGAGAAAATGTCTCCAGGGCATAGCAGAGACCTCTGCAGCAACCTCCCCCATCACAGGCCTAGAGGCCTAGGAGGAAAATTGGTTTCCTGGGCTAGGTCAGGGGACCCCCTGCTGTGTGCAGCCTAGGGTTTTAGTGCTCTGCCTCCCAGCTGCTCCAGCCATGGCTAAAAGGTGCCAAGGTATAGCTCAGGCCATGACTTCAGAGGATGCAAATTCCAAGTCTTGGTAACTTCCATGAGGTGTTGAGCCTATGGGTGCACAGAAGTCAAGAATTGAGGTTTGGGAAACCTTTGTCTAGATTTCAGAGGATGTATAGAAATGACATCATTGAGAAGCTCTGCTAGGACAGTGTGGAAAAGAAATGTGGGGTGGGAGCCACCACACAGAGTCCTCACTGTGGCACTGCCTAGTGGAGCTCTGAGAAGAGGGCCACTGTCCTCCAGACCCCAGAATGGTAGATCCACCAACAACTTGTACTGTGCACCTGGAAAAGTAATAGACACTCAACACCAATGCGTGAAAGCAGCCAGAAGGGGAGCTGTACCCTGCAAAGCTATAGGAGTGGAGTTGCCTGAGGCCATGGGAGCCCACCTTTTGCATCAGCATGATCTGGTAGTGAGACATGGAGTCAAAGGAGATCATTTCTGAGCTTTAAGATTTGGCTTCCCTGCTGGATGTTGAACTTGCTTGGGGTCTGTAGCCTCTTCATTTTGACCAATATCTCCCATATGAAGAGGATGTATTTACTCAATATCTGTACCCTCATTGTGTCTAGGAAGTGACCAACTTGCTTTTGACTTTACAGTCTCATAGGCAGAAGGGACTTGCCTTGTCTCAGATGAGAGTTTAGACTTGGACTTCTGAGTTAATGCTGAAATGAGTTAAGACTTTGGGGGATTATTGGGAAGGCATGACTGGTTTTGAAATGTGATGACATGAGATTAGGGAGGGGCTAGGGGTAGAATGGTATGGTTTGGCTGTGCGTCCCTACCTAAATCTCCCCTTGAATTATAATAATCCCCACATGTGGTGGAAGAGACCCACTGGGAAATACCTGAATCATGGGGGCAGGTATTTCCAGTGCTGTTCTTGTGATAGTGAATAAGTCTCACAAGATTTGATGGTTTTATAAAGCGGAGTTCCACTACACAAGCTCCCTTGCCTGCTTCCATGTGAGACATGGCTTTGCTCCTTATTCACCTTCTGCCACAATTGTGAGGTCACCCCAGCTCTGTGAAACTGTGAGTCAATTAAACCTCTTTTCTTTATAAATTACCCAATCTCAGGTATGTCTTTATGAGCACTATGTGGACAGACTAATACAGATGCCCACTGTTTTAATTTTCAATTTTTTCAAATATTTCTTTACTTGATGTGAGGATTACAATTTTTGGGAAACAAATTTCAAATCGAAATGGCTTATCACCTTTTACTACTTTCAAAAATAAAAGCTTCTGACATCAAGAATTTCTTGGGTTTTTATGGGAAAACAAATAGTACATAAAATCTATCATTTTAGTTGCAATGTTATGTATGACAACTTATAAAATGGACATATTCCCTATAGAGTATGTTTGCTACAATATTAAGCTTTGCTAAATACTGCAAGCTATTTGTCATGTTTTGATTAGTGAAATATACAAAACATTGATGATACTAAATACTGTAAGAATTAGCTAGGAAAGATATTACACAAATAAATCATATCTAAATGTTTTGTTAGTGTAAGACAAATAGCTTTATAAAAACTATTTCAATAATGTACCATATGTTGATTTGATTACCAAGAATAATAATGATTTGTAAAAAGGAAATTATACATGAGTCACTACCATCCCTTGAGAAATTAAATATCAAAATATTTTTGAGTCTCATGTATAACTTCAACTCCCTGTACTTTTTAAAGAAGAATCTTATGATTTTGTTTTTATTCAAATTTAATCTCTAAAGTCTTTCAGATGAGTAACAAATCAGTTTTGTGTTTCTAAACAAAATTAGTAGTTAGTTACCCTTTAATTTTTTAATAAAAATGCATTTCATACTCAAAAGAAAAAGTTCATTGATCAAATTATTAGACACGTAAGAAAGCAGCATATTAATCAGTGGTTACTTTTCAAGCATTACCTGTTGGAATGACTAATGCTAATTTAAATAGCTATTGTCTCACTTTTTAGACATCAGAAGTGTTTTTAGTAATATCCTTGACATAGAGATAAAATTCCTGCTAGTTATTTGAATCATCAATCAGTATCTTTGTATACACACACACACATGCATGCACACAACTATTTTTCTTCAAAATGCAACACAATTTTTATAAAGACATTTGCTTGATACAGGTTGATGGGTACCATGATTTTTTAAGTAAACACAATTCTTTATGTTTTTTTTTCTTAAAAATGAGTCAATAAATTATGATATGTTTTATATATAGTTTATTTTAAAATAGAATCCAATTACGAGAAGGGAAGAGTTTTATGTAATTTTCAAGAATCAAGTGCTGTTGCTTGTTTGGCTGCCTTTTAAAATATTCTCACAAACTTTCTTAATATCATTGAAAAATATAAACAAAGCCTTACTTCATGAAGAAAAGTCATTATTCCTTCAGACTTATGTGTCATAAAATTCCTTTCTCATGCGTGCTAAGCTTCAGACGTTCCTGCATTAGGGTTAAACATAGGTCTTAGTTTGACATTTTGTGAATAACAAAGATCACACCTTTCATGTGACAAGGCTTATTTGAAGAAAATAAGTACATATCTTTCTTGACTTTCAGTTAATTATCTTTAGGTAAAATTTTTCTACATTCGCCTTCCCAAAATGAACATATTTTTCTCACAATTTGATTTCTTTTATATCTGTTTAAAGATTGTGGTGCCCTTAAACATTTATGTTTGATCATGAGAACTATAAACATTATAAGTGTTAATGCTTTAACTACTTTCTTAAAAAAAACCAAATAAACAAAAAGCACCTTCTTTTCTAAAATATCACAGACAAAGTATAACAAGTACTTATGGAAATAACAGGGTCAAGATCATATGACTCAAAATATATGCAACCATTAAGTTTGGCCTAAAGCTGCCTCCTTGTTAGTACAGCCTAAAAGTTTCTCTGTAAATAGGGAACTGTAACCTAACTGAATGTGTAAACAGACAATAGCTTACCCTTTCACTGATCACTGAATTTCAGTCAGTCACAGGTGATCAACTGTTCAAACAATGTTCAAATAAGAAAAAGTCAAACTATACACAATCCAATTATTTTGGAACCTCACTTTCATTTTTTGTACCTCAGTTTCATTTTCTGCACATCACTTTCCTTTTTTTTTCTGTAACTCTTCAACCGACTGGCAGAGCTAAAGTCTCTCTGAATCTATTCTGTTTCAGAAGGCTGCCTGATTCACAAATCATTCTTTGTTCAGTTAACCCATTTATGCATGAGGTTGCAATTTTTTGAAGTTTTGCAATCAGACCTTGATGATGACTTTGAGCAGTAAGATATAAATAATTCCCATACGCTTAGCATTCCAGTAATAGAACACTAGGCATAAAAGAGTTTTAAACTTTGTTGAATTTAATTTGTCTAAAGTTTCTCTTTTAACAGATGGTGTCAGAAGTTGGATCTGGACTAGAGTTTCTAGAGACTCACAGGAGCCTTAAGACCAAGCAAGGTGTTCGCTGGACCCATTGTGTCCATTACTCTCTCCCAGCAACTAAGGATTATGGGTAAGTAGTTGTCTCCAAGCTCAACAATTTATGTTTTGAGTATCTTAGGCTTGTTTGAATAATTTTTTAAAAATCTGAAATGGGTTTGGAAGTTTCAACAAAAATTAGGCTAGATCCAGGATTAGATGGATTTGATGAATAGCTGGATTGGATCCCATTACAGGCCTCAGTTGTCTGACTGGGTCAGACAGAAAGTGGCAGTAAATGGCAATATTGCAGAGGTGTGGATTCTATCTCTCAGAAATTCACAGGAAATTTTTTTTTTTATAATCTATCTGCTGTGTTTATTTTTCTTGAATTCTTCGGTAGAAAAAAACATCATAGTCTTAGTTGATCAAGGATATCTGACAGCCAAAATTAAAATTAAATATAAAAATGGAATTCTTAATTTCTAAAGAACTAGTTACTTCACCTTCTGGTTATGCCCACATTTACATGTGCAAGTATTAAGGCCCAGAAGCAGCAAACACTTTTAGAAATGGTGAAATCTTACTAAAGGTAATTTAGAAATCACAGTGGAGTATTCCAAATGAAACACACCGCCCTTTAAGAAATGCACTTAAAAATGAAAACTTCCAAATTAGTCTTCTCCAGGCATGCCTACTGATATGCATAAACTTTTAAAAAGAATATGAAATTTTTATTTCCTTTTTAAAAGATTCTTTATAAAATGAAAATAAAAAGCTTAAGTGACTAATAATAAAAATCTGATCTGCTTAACTTTTGAATTAGTTACTATCCTGCATGAAGTTGCAGAGAAAGCTATGGTGGATAAACTGTTTAAAAAATATATATCTTCAGGTAAAGCAGAGTTGCTTCTTTTTCAGAACCGTCCATGCTGAGTCCAGGCATAAAGAATGCTTTATTTGCCCTATGTTTTAGTAGACTCTATCCGGAGCCTTTTTTTTTTTTTTTTTTTTTTTTTGTTAAGGAAACAGTAGCTAAGTTAAAGAAAACCACCTATTGAAATAAACAGTTCTGCAAAATACCTTTCTGACATTTACCTGTCTTGAAATCCTTCTCTAAAAGAAATTTGCAACTGTAAAGAAAATTTTACTTTATAAGGGTGCCAAAGAGGGAAGACTGGGTTGAAATTCTTACCATTGTTTGAAATTGACATAAAAGTCCTACCTTTGTTCAAGATGCTTCTCTCAGCCATCTCATTTTAACTGGGCCTTTATGCACTACCTTTTTCCATGATTTGAATAAATGATTTTTCAAATATTTGAGCAATATTTAAAGCTAAAGTATCAGCTATGTGCTTTTGAGATACAAATTTTCTACCTTGTAACACCTGAATCATCCCTTTAGAAATGTAAATTTAGTATTGTTTAGCTAACAATTGCTGAGGCCAAGGAAACAGGTCATTTGAGAGTTGATAGGCTGAATGGGGAAAAGAAATACTATTTGAAAACTGGCAAATGAGAATTCTTTGTAACAGCTAAGATCTGCCTCTGTTTGTCTATATTTCTATAGGTGTTACCTGTGTATAATAATACTTGATAGAAATAGTTTTGAAATTCTTGGTAAACTAAAATAGAAATGGCTTCGGAGTTATCAGTTTAATATAATTCAGACATTTTTGCATGTGTCTACTGGTTAGACAGGTTATGTTGTCTCTGCTATGTGTTTTACAGTTAGGCAGGTTTATGTTGCCTCTACGTTGTGTTTTAAGGTCGTAAAACTGCTGCTTCTATAAACTTTTTGATACTTGCTTGATATAATTGTTAGTCTATGTTTTCAGTATTGAGCTTCTTGATTCTAGGGTCAGGACAGGTGGCCAACGTGAGGCCTGGGAACATGTCCTCAGTGAATTCACTACCAGCTGCAAGGGAAAGTCAAACCCACTGTCACTCCTTCCTCTATGGTCCAACTTTGCCTCCTGGGCAAGCTGGGAGGGCTTGAACCCTCCACACATAGTCTTTACAGCTTTATCTTCTGTCTTAAATGCTATAACTGGTGAGTAAATTCAGCACCCAGATGTGCCTTGCCCTCCATAAATATCCTAGGTGTTATATGGCTACTTGAGACCTATAATGACTGGGGAAGACATAAGGGAGAGTACCTGTGTCATAGTTTCCAAATATTTTTCACTTTTCAGTAATTTAAAATCTTAAAGTCATGTTCTATTAAATTTAATAATAGATAATTATAAAATTTCTAAGTCATTTGTAATTAGTGAAACATTAATTATTAAATATAAGTTTCAACTGACATACTTTGTCACCTAATTCTTCTATGATCTAGAAAAACTAAATATATCTAGATCTGTTAATAAGCAAAACATTAAGGAAACATGTCTTTCTAAAATATTATGAAATGGCTTTCATCTATAAATACTGATATAAAACAGTACATAATTACTTCCTATGTTTTCACTAAAAATTAGGCTTCCTAAGAGTTAAAATTGTAGTTAATATGTATAATTAAAACCACCAGATATAAAATATTCTATATACAAAACGTGCATTACAAAGCAAGTTACCCTTTTGGTGACAAAAGTTGTAAAAGCATGACAATGTGTGATTTTGAAAAAAATAATTTTCTCTAGTTTCAAATTTACTTAAATATTGCTTCAAATTAAAGAAATGAAAAGATATAGATAAAAAATAAAGAGTTGGAAAGAGAAAGAAAGTAGAATAAAATTTTGTAAGTGATAACAAAAGGTTTTTAGAAATCTTGTGTGGTCAAAATAATGACTGAGATTGGCTTATTAGAGTTTATTAAATTAGTTTTGGAATTGATAATACATTAATACAAAGGTGAAAGTTTGGTTTTCTCTTTTAAACAAGAATTTTCATGTGGCACAGTTGTGACAGTAGAAGATTTTTATTCACATTTTGAGTAAACTGCAAAAAAAAAAAAAAAAAAGAGAAAGAGAGCAAAAGAGAGACAAGGGATAGAAAAACAGAGTCTGTCTCGCTATTTTCCTCAGCTCTTTCAATTGGAAAATTGAGTCTCCTATCAAAGAATAAAAGTTTTTGCTTTTTAAAACATTTTTTTACCACTTTGGCTAAATGAAAGGCTATTATTTAGTCACGTGATTCTATTTTGTCATGTGACCTGTGATTCTATTTTGATTATTTTAAGCCTTTGTAAGAAACAATGTTTAACCTTTTTGAGTTATGTTTCAATGAATATGTTATTAATGTATGTCCTAATGCTGTATGAGATTCATAAAATTTTGACGTATCTTGGTATATTTTGTTAGTCATAATTATTGTAATTATATTAAATTATTGTAGGCCACGGAAATAACCACATTTTCTTGTCAACTGTGTTTTTAACTATGACCATTTTAAGTTGTTTCTACAGTTAGTTGCTTAACTCTGATGTAGTTTCTGGAAGTTCTTCACAAGCAGGTAGAATTTTATGGTATTATTTCTTCAAAAAGATTCATGGAAAATATGGAAAAGGCACTGACAAGCACTCTTGAGTACAGATTTTCCGTAACTATGAGATCATATCATTTGGTTTGAGTAAGAATTTCAAAAACTACAGGAGACTGATTGGTTCATAAATCTGCTAACCCGAGTGGTACAAAATTCAGTTACATACAAGGAAATACCCTGCAAGATTTCATGCGAAATCAGCCAGCATTAAAATTGTTAAAATATGCAGTTTGGATGAACTCCATGGCACAAGTCAAATTACCAATGATAACCCATTTATTAAGCAGTGTTAGGAACCTGAATTAAGGTAACGAAATTAGTATTTAGGAGCATACAAAACCAATGTTAAGAATGGACTCATGGAGAGTCAATTGTTTTTTGCTCAATTAAACTCTGTAAAATTTAATTTGTTTAAAGTTTTTCTTTTAACACGACTAAAAATCGATCATTCGCAAACCACATAAACTTATGTGAGTTTTAATGAGAGCACAACCAAAACCATAAATAATCTTATTTTAAACAGCGCCGTTGGATCTCCATTGGCAATAATGTCTGGGACCACTATCATTAAATATTCTGCATCTTTAACTTGAAAACTTAAGCTTCTTCCTTAGAGTTATAGGTTGTTTGGTGGCATATTCTTCCAATAGAGACCAGTTCCATCAAAATTTAGAATTTGATATGTGGCATAGCATTCATTACCAATCGATATTGTAACTAGAAATGGCTTTACATCTTCACTTTCTGCACTGTCAGCACCAAAATTTACTTAAAGTTTTGGCAAAAATAGAGTAGTTCTTGAAGCCATTACTTATATAAAGACTATATAAAGAATTCAGCTTCTGCAGAAATTTCAACATTTCTTTCTAAAGATTTTTATATATTGCTTAGGCTTTCTTAGGAAAATGTCCCTTAATGATTCATAACTTTCATGTATTATGAAAATTACCTATAAAGTAATGCTACATCTACATAATACTAGCAACACTGTGGAATTGGATATTGTACAACATAAACTACAGAAACAATATAAATTATAGTATAACAGATTATATTTAATATTTTTGTCTGTTTTATACATTTAGAATATAATACAGCTGACTTATTACAAAATGTTAGTAATTTTACATCTACTGACAAATTTTTTCTAAGGTTTTTTAAGTACTCACACCATTGATTTAGTTCAGGACTTCATAATCTCCTCCACTACATTTTTATTATATTTTGGCTAATTCTTTCAAATATTTTTATATTTGTTGAAAATAAATTATAATATTTTTATAATTTGGTCTTATATCACTTATTCAAATTCTCCTCACATGTTACACATTTTACCTTGAGCACTAGTTTAATTTCTTAACTGTTCCCTGCACATTATCATTACAGTATCTTCAAGACATGCTCCAAGGATAACCTAAATTTAAGCTGTCAGGATAATTTACCTGTAGAATTGCGTTTAGGATAGAGCAATAATGGCACAAAGAAACATAAATTAATTTTCTCAAATAAATAGGTACTGAGATATAAAGAGCAGCCTAATTTATCAGCACTGTGAAGAGAACATTGAACCAGGTTTGTTCTATCAGCCTCAAACCATGTAATTTTATAATCAAAATTACCTTTTAGTACAAAATGGTTACAGGAGCATTAGCCATCTCATGTGCTTACCAGACAGCAGGAAAGAAGAAAGAGAAAAGGGTAAAGCTTACTTGTTATTTAAAAAAATAAAAATAAAAAAAGAATCCTATAATTTTCATGCAACATAACAACACTTCTTTAATGAATACATAGTTATTTGGCTACAGACATAAAAGAAGTTGGAATATAATGTGGTAAATTATGTTTCAAATACCACATTGAATTATATTTAGTAATAATGTAATTTTGGATTCTATAGGCATAAATGTGAATTCCATAAATCTTTAATTTTATTTCTTTAAGTTTTTGCATCAATTGTGCATTTACTTTTAAAATAATTGAAGACAAATACTGTTTCCTTTATGTTATGAAAACTTGCACAATAATCATATATCCTTAAGATGTAAAAATATTTTTTCATGAAGTGAGCTATTTTCCAAAGGTTTGTTTTTTGAAAAGTTACCAAATTTCTTTTCTCAGTTTATTTATATTTTCAACCTCTGTTTAACTCACTTTGAATTTTTTTCATTTTCCTAGAAAATTCAACATGGCAATCAAATGCTCACATTTATTACCATGGAGCAAGCAATATCCTACAATTAACATATAGCAAGTAATCTCTTTTAATTTTAATTGTATATTTATGTATATTTAATTGTATATTTACTTATTTTGTTGTCTAGATTTGATTTTAGTAGTTTTGTATTCATTTTCACAATTTGAGTAAGAAGGGCTATAACAAGCTTCTGAGTCTTTCAAGAACCAAATCTGGATTTGCATTAAATTAACCGCTTTTCCCTTTTATTTAAAAAAACACTACTTTTATGTTTATCTTTAGTGATTATTAGTCTGTTATTTTCCAAAAATTTTAGTTGAATGCTTTATTTGCCATTTTAAATATCACCAATATATTTATCCAAGTGTTTAAAACCATGCTCTTCCATTCTTCACAAATCCAGCGCATCGCTAATCTTCCAAAAGTATCACTGTTTAACATTTTTGAAGCTTGAATATTGTACAGTCGACTTTCCAAATTGACAGGTTCTGCGTTTGCAGATTTAACCAACTTTTGATCAAAAATAAAAGAAAAAGTATAAAAATAACAACATAACAGTAAAAACCAATACTAATAAAAAATCAGTATAGTATAACAACTATTTACATAGCATTTATGTTGCATTAGGTATTATAAGTAATCTAGAAATGATTTAAATTTGTAACAGAGTTTGTGTATATTATATGCAAATATAATACCATTTTATGTAAGGGACTGAAGGATTTGCAGATTTTGATATGTGTAGAGGTCCTGCAACCAATTTCCTGCAAATACCAAGAGACAAATGTGTGGTAAATTATCTTGTCTTCAAAGAAACTATGCATAGTTAACATAAGTGCAGGTTTACTTTCTTCGTACTACTTACACGGAGCTGTTCTGTAGCTACCGTAAAGTATATACACTTCAATTTACACCTTTATTGCTTTTTTAATGCATGAAAACATTTCCCACAAAATTTTTATGTAAAAAAATATTCACTTGAAAGGTAAATATAGCAAATAAAATTCTATTCAATTAAGTTGGTGCCTATATGTGTTAAGAAACTAAATTTTCATTCCAGTAATTATTATTATTATTATTATTATTATTACTTTTGAGACGAAGTCTCAAACTGTCGCCCAAGCTGGAGTGCAGTGGTGCCATCTTGGCTCACTGAAACCTCCACTTCCCAGGAGATTTAAGCAATTCTCCTGCCTCAGCCTCCCAAATAGCTGGGACTACAGGCACGCACCAGTATGCCCAGCTAATTTTTGTATTTTTAGTAGAAGTGGGGTTTCACTACGTTGGCCATGCTGGTCTTGAACTCCTGACTTTGTGATCCATCCACCTCGGCCTCCCAAAGTCCTGGGATTACAGGCGTGAGTCATGGCATCCAGCACCGGTAATTACTTTTAAACTAAGAAATCTAACTATTTTCTCCTCTTTGCAACATAACTATACATATTATCACTCTTTTTAGATATAGCTACCTACATTCAGTATAATTCTTGACATTAATCTATTTTCTAACCAAACAGTGCTTGCTTAGTCATTTGGTCATTTGATTAAATTTTAAAGCATAGGTAACTTTCCAATATATTTTATCAAAGTCTCTTTGATCTTTCCTAACTGAAAAGGTTATACAGAGCCCATTTACAACAATGGAAGGATTCATAAAAACAAGAGGTAACATATCACACACCTGAGCATGAGTGGTCAAAGAGAATTTATTGAGAAAATATACTTATGCCCTTCAGATTTCACCCTTATTAATTCTTCAGCATTTATAAGCTTTATTTAGCAGATTCATTAATATTTTGTTTTAGTTGAACAAGTGGGAATCTGAAATGAGCCATTTTGGAAGTAGCTGGACAAAAGCCTACTCTCTTCAGTTTAGCCACATTGCCCTTCTTTGCATATCAATGGCCGCATTTCTCATTTTCCCCTGTGTCAGGCAGCGCTGATGCAAGCACAAAGCTTCTTTTGAATTAATAGAAGATGAACACTGGGGTCAATTTATCAGACCTAGAAGGAGAGAAGAAATGAGCTCAATAAGCCGAGGAATGATCTGGAATACAAAGACAAGAGCAAAATGAGATTATACTAGATACATTGCTTTATATTCTGTTTTGATTCTAATAATCAAATAGCTTTTACAGCTTTAAATTTTGATTATTCCTTTTTATTTTTAGGAACTTAAATTAATTGAGCATATGCAAAGAATAGCATATTTATTTATAAATAATTTATTTGGTGATCTGTAGATAATAGAAAAATAAATCATTTCCTCTTATATATACAATGATATATAAGAAACGTATCCTGAAGAATGTTTCTTGCTATATTGTTTTAAAGCAGCATTGTTCAATAGATACATAATGTGACACAGATGTAATTAAGAATTTTTCAAGAAACCCCATTAAGAATAATTTTAAAAAGCAGATAAAGTTAGTTTTACTAATTTATTTTATCTAGTATTTTCAAAATATTACTCCAAATGTAATCATTATGTGAGTATTAATGCAATATCTTGTATTTTTGTTTTTACATATCAAGCCTTCAATATTGATTATGCTTTTTATATCTGATAGAGTATTTTAAGTGCTCAATAATCATATGTAGGAATGGCTTATATATTAGGTAGTGCCAGGTCAAGAGAAATAGACCATTACAGTGATAATTGAGAATAATCTTTTGGATGTTTTGTTGAATGCAATCATTTATAAGCTCAAATATTTACTATATACTGGCCGGGAGCAGTGGCTCTCGCCTGCAATCCCAGCACTTTGGGAGGCCAAGGCTGGCAGATCACGAGGTCAGGAGTTCGAGACAAGCCTGATCAACATAGTGAAACCCCATCTCTACCAAAAAAAAAAATACAAAAATTCGCTGGGCGTGGTGGCGCGGGCCTGTAATCCCAGCTACTCAGGAGGCTGAGGCAGGAGAATCGCTTCAATCTGGGAGGCGGAGTTTACAGTGAGCAGAGATTGTGCCACTGCACTCCAGACTGGGCGACAGAGCAAGACTCTATTTCAAAAAAAAAAAAAAAATTTACTGTATATTTAGTGACTGCTATGTCATATAATCTGTATAACTAAATATATATTGAGCCTTTGCCACTCTGATTATGTGATAGTATCTTTATTTATCTTTATTTCCACAGATTATCTTTTACCAAAATAAAAAACCAAATCAAAAATGAAGCCCCATATCACTGTATTGACCATTGGAGGCATTTATGTCTTCCTTTTTCGTATCTATGTAGCTCAGTTCTTATAAGAATACTGTTTGGGAAATAAATTTATTCAAAGATTTTTTTATTCAAGAGCTAGCTAACTTTATTACAAACTACCAGAATTTATATAAGTTGTTATCAATCTCTGAGTCTCTGAAAGTTTAATTGTGATAATGATAATGTCATAATTACAGTACCAGCTTCATAGATAACCTGTGTATCACAGGCAGAATCCTAACCCTCCCCACCAGCAAGATGACAAATTCTGATCCCTGGAACATGTGACTATGAGAGACATCTCTCCCATGATTATATATTATGTGGCACAGCTGACTTTAAGATAGGAGATTATCCCAGAGGCCTGGCCTAACCATTTGAGATTTTAAAAGCAGAGAATTTGTTTCCAGCTGATGGCTGAAGAAGTCAAAGAGATTCAAAACAGGAAAAGGATTCAATGTGCTCTTGTTGCTTTGAAGATGGAGGAGGTCACTGAAGAAGGAATGACATATAGCCTTGGGGTGTAGTAGCAGACATCAAGATGACAGCCATCAATGACACTCCTGTAAGAAACTGGATTTTCTCAACAACCTGAATAACCTTGGAAATAGATTCTTCCCCAAAGCCTGCAGATAGCAGTGACACCCAGTGAGTGACACCTTGATTTTTGCTTTATATTGGTCTTATGGGACCTGGAGCAGACAACCTAATAAGGCATACTGGATTTATCACTTACAGAACTATGAGAAAAAAGTGGTATTGTTTTAAGCCATGAAATTTGTGGTAAATTATTACAGCAGCAATGGAAACCAATATACTATGTGAAAATATCTTGCAAACATTAACATGTTTTCTAAATTTTAGGCATTATAATTAGAACATATAATCCATTGGATCCTCTGTTTTATTTAAATTCTTTGTACATAGATTAGCCTGGTCTATTCTATGACCAAATGTAGTATTTCTAAATACAGTACTTCCTGCAGTTTTCCAATTTGTATGTTATCCTTATTAACATGAACTATTTGAGAGTAATAACAAGCAAGTGCTAATCAATTACTATTGTGGAATAACTCAAATAGTCTAATCTAATTAATGGGACATAGTAGAACACCATTAACAACATATCTACTTTATTTTCTATCCCACATACCATAGCAGGGGGCAGGGTAATTTTCTTAATAAATAATGACAAGTAATTCTGATAAAGACACTGACAATTAAATTATGGTGGCAATATTCAAAATTTAAAGAGAAGACAAATATACTTCAAAATTAATGTATTTCTATAAAAGACTTTTATAGTACTTTTCAAAATCAATTGAATATTTTATTAATTGCAAGTATGTCAAATATAATAATCGTTATTCTGATATTCAAAACCAGTTGGTGAATATTATGAATATTAATGATTTATAGTGAAATTTAGTCTCAATGACTATGATTTTTTTTAAAAAGGCTTGATTTGGAGTAATACCATGCATTTTAATATACAGGTGTAGAATACATGTTCCAGATAGTGTGCTGCAATGGTTATTTTTCATGTGAACACACACACGTTTTCTTAGGTTACAGTGTCAGTTTGGGTCCCCTGAGATGCAAAAGCCAGGCTAACATTAGATAATCAAAAGAATCTTGAGGAAACACCTGTGAAGGTGAAGCAGGCAGCAGAAGACACAAAGAACCTTCAGAACACAATTCAACCCTGATAGCTGTTGAAATAAGAGAAAAAAGAAAGAAATGGGAATCAGTGCCCTGGGTTACAATACAGGTCTCTGAATATTTTGGACCAACCAATTAGTGGAGAGTTTGAAGCAGAAGTTCATTCAAGGAATTCCATTGTGTGTATTGCTGGACTCTGTAATCTCCTCCCTTGGTGAGTATTTACAATTTTTGTGTTATTATTACCACTCTCTCTTAATTACTACAGATTCATTATAGATTATTTTCTAGGTTTATTGAGGAATCATTGTCAAATAAAAATTGTATATATTCAAGGTGTACATCATTCAGTACACATTTATATTGTGCAATTATTACCACAATCAAATTAATTAACACAGTCTTCACCATACCCAGTTACTGTGTGTTTGTGTGTGTGTATGCATGCGTGTGTGTGTGTGTGTTTGTGGTGAGGTCACTTAAGATCTGTTTTAGCAAATATCCAGTAAACAATGTTATTAACTATAGTCACTGCTGTAGGTTAGAAAATTGGAAGATGTTGGTTATCCAACACAAGCACATATCTGGATATCTGCTGTTATCAGTTCTCTACTTCTTTTTCCTGTTGTCCTACCAATCCTGGCTATTTAATTGCTATGTGAATTTTAGAATTAATTAATTAATTAATTTAGAATTAATTTACCAATTTCTGCAAATACTCAGCTGATATATGGCTAGTATTTCATTCAAGGTACGGAATAATTTGGGGAAAATTGACATCTCTATGTTACTGGATTTTCAATACATAAACATGAAATAATTACCTTCCATTTAGTTAGATATAATTAATTTTCTCCTCAGTAATATTTCATAGTTTCTTGTATAAAACACTTGCATACCTTCCACTACACATATTCACAGAAATTTGGGCTTGTCTTTATTGTACCTTGCTTGATAGTGCTCAGCGAAACCATTCTCTGATAAACATCTCCCAATAAGTATTATGAAATACAGATGAGAATCTCCATCCTCACAACAGTGGGAGTACGAGATCTATATTCACTTGCTTTTTGTTGTTTCTGTTAATGAAAATGTCCAGCTGATAACATAGGTTGTGGTCCACTGTGTATGTGGTGAAAACACACTCAGAATAAAAAATGAAGATATTATTGAAGAATCCCAGTGCTACGATTATATATTTCTCTCCAAAGTTAAATATATATTCCTCATATCAGAAATGTGTGTAGATCAGCCAAATTAATAATTGTTTTCTCATGTGCAAAAAGTTGTTTATGAAATAGGTCGAGATAAGCACAAAACTAAAGATATATTATAAACTAGGTGAAATCTTTATCCCCTAATCTATCTCCCTATTGAATTGAGCTTGGCTAATTCTTCCAATCAAAGTCAGCCATAAGGATAATTTCTTGAAAATGATGTGGTAGTATTATTTAAATAATTACCTGTCTGTGTTCTAGAATGTTGTAGATTGCAGAACTATAAACTCAATTCTGTTATCAAATTCATGTTAGTATAATTAATCCTCAGTTGTGAAATTTCTTTTTTTAGCCACAAATAAATTAAAATTATGAACAAATATGTTTCTTCAAGAGCTCATCTGAAAAAAAATGTTGGCGTGACTACATAAGAATCACCTAAGGTACTTCTACAAATATGTATTTTATCTTTATTCCCTTTACCCAATCTCATTTAGTAGATAAGGACAGACACAATATTATATAAAAATGCCTAGGTGACTTTCCTATGTGGTTTGACTGGGGAACAGCTGTGCATTGTTCCAGCTATACAATATCATTAGTGTTATTGCTGTAGAGCATGGAAATATGCAGTACAGGAAATTAAAACCATAATATTAATTTATTGTCAATGGACATAATTATTTTCCCTAGTTATAATCAGACTTCCTACTTTAGGGACTATAGCCTAAATGTTTGCCAATTAAACAGTTATAGCTCTTTCAGTACTTCTCCATATACACTGATCTGAATAATCCGAGTCTTTTATGTATCCCTTTTTCAAAAGGCCAAGAAATCAATAAGATTAAACAAGACCTGTCAACATCCCTTTTAATTGTGTTTGAGCAAAACTGTTATTTCCACAGTGCCACTGCCAGACTTGATTTCAGAGACCAATAAATGAAGATATTAAAAAGTTAAGAGAAATTATTCAAAATTTCATTTTCAATGAATACAGACAATCCATTCAAACAGGTTATTCTGAGTCTACAACTGAAAGATATACTTTGTTTGGAGAATTCTCCTTTCCTCAAATTTAACTGTGGCATTGCTCCCTTTAACAATGGGAAGAATACAAATGACATGATCCAACTTGTACTGAGAATCCAAATTCATACATTCCCCTTTCTCATTGACAGGAATAACTGAAACATATGTCTTTTCATACCATGTGGAAATATGCAACAATATTTCAGTTCTTGATTTTTCTTGGCCTTTACTAATGTATTTAGCTACTTCAATTTTTACTTTTCCATTGATCCTTCCATTTCCAGTATATAAACGTTTTTGAAATAAGTGTAGATTTTGCACGAGACAACTCCTCCCTTCCATTTTCTTCTGTTTTGTGAGGAGAATGCTCTACAGTTAATGCAGGAAATATTAAGGAAAGGCCATGAACTTGGATTTCCTGCATTCCAAATATTTTCTACTTACTTTTTTTTTTTTTTTTTTTGAGACAGAATCTAGCTGTGTTGCCCAGGCTGGAGTGGAGTGGTGCACTCTCAGCTCACTGCAACCTCTGCCTCCCTGGTTCAAGTGATTCTTCTGCCTCAGCCTCCCGAGTAGCAGGGACTACAGGCGCCTGCCATCAGGCCCGGCTGATTTTTTTGTGTTTTTTAGTAGAGATGAGGTTTCACCATGTTAGCCAGGTTGGTCTCCATCTCCTGACCTCGTGATCCACCCACCTTGGCCTCCCAAAGTGCTGGGATTACAGGCATGAGCTACCGCACTTGGCCTTCAACTTACTTTTTAATATGAACCTCTTTACTGTCCCAGACATTCCATTGCTAGTGCCTTCCTAATTGTTCTCTAGCCCATTTATTTATTTTCCTAGCATATGCCCCCAGATTTGTGTAGTCCTCTTAGTGGAAGATTGGAGTTCTTTGGTTTTCAGTTCTATGAAAAGTATCCATTGTTCAAGAAATTGTGATCAATTTTATCCCTTAAATTTTCTTCAAAGTTGCCTTCCTTCAATAGCTCAAATTCTGATCCTGGCCTACATTAAACCTTTTGTGTTTCTGTCTCATTCCCTTTTAATGCTTTTCATATTGTATATCTTTCCTCAGCTAGCCACCTCATAGCTCATTTCATTTATACTTCCCTATCTATATTTGGCAGGTGAACTGGACTTTCACTTAGAAAAGGCTTATTCACTTAGCTAATGAAATAGTCATAAATTAACAGGTTTAATTAAAAAAAATTGCAAGATTATGGAACATCTAGTTTACTGCATCAAATTCATATCTCTCAATCATCATTGTAGAAGAGGTGGCACATGTAAGAAGAAAGTGAATTTTAAGTGAACAAATGAACATATGATATAATGGTTTTCAGCTCTACTAACAGGCTAATGTTCCCATTCCCTGCATCCTTATCCTCTTGCCTGATGACCTAGCCCTAATCCACTTAATACAGTTGTAATTATTCAGACTTGAGTCAAACAAATGGCCAAAGGCTGATCCTGACATTCCTTTGTTGTGTGACTTTTGGCAAGTTACCACTCTTGAGCTTCAGTTTCCTCATTTATAAAATTGACCCAATGATAATATCTATGCCACAGAAATGATGTAAAATAATATATGTGAAAATATTTATCCTGGTATCCGAATATGGTGAACACTGAACATGTTAGTTGTTTTTCCTGTAAGCCCCTCGGAGCAGGCTGTGCTATGGCCAAGCCATTGCGACCTCTGTGACCCACATGTACACATCCAGAAGGTCTCCTGGAGCCAGAAAGTCTGGGACAACAGGAAGACCCCAAAAGAAGAAAAACAACTAGTTCCTGTCTTAGTTGATTAGCCAACCTTGCGACCTTCTACCATTGTGACATACTCTACCCTAACTGATCAATCAACCTCCTGACATGTGCCCTGTGACCCCTCCCACCTTGTGATAATGTACCTTGCGACATTCTTCCCCTGCCTGCAATAAACGGCCCCTAACTGTAACTTTCCACTGCTTACCACTGACCTATAAACCTAGCTCCAATCCCACCACCCTCCTCTGACTCCCTTTTCGGACTCAGCCTGCTCGCACCTGAGTGAATAGACAGCCTTATTGCTCACACTTAGCCTGTCCAGGTGCTCTCTTCAATTAGACACATACATAACATTTACTATATTCGGTGAAAATTAGAATTTGTTAGACATTTTTCTTTACACTTAACATATAGGCTTGATTTTTATTTCAGTTTTTTTTTTAACATTGATTAAATAACCTTATTTTAAATTGTGTGTTGGTTATTTATTCTAATGAACACATGAAAAAATTTTGGATAGTGACATGTATATTTAAAGAAAAGAGATATGTGATTTCCAACTGATACAATTATTAGATCCAATATGACTTTCTGCATTAAAAAACAAAAACAGAAAAACAAATGATCTTCATTGAAACTGCATGTGGCTTGATATTTGGAAGAACAGTTACATGTATCTTCAGATTTCTTATGCAAGTGCCACTATTAAAAAAAAAATCATTTGTGTTTTTTTTCCCATATTGTTAATGTATATCATTTTGCATTAATTTGTCTGGTATTTGTTAGGTTTAAAAGACTTTGGAACACAGTTTTAAGGTTTGATTTTATTGATATGTTTACACAATAAAGCATCATTTAAAATATCATTAAATAAGACAAAAACTTACATTCCTGCCTTCAGAATCTCAGTAAATGTGAGCACTTGAGAGCTTGCCATTTATGATTAGTATTTCATGGTACATCAAGTAAGCATCATTCTTCACAAACATAATAAGTTTCCAGCTAGTGTATTTAATACCTATAAAATCCAATGTGGCTAATGAACAAGAATGAAATGATGGTAATCTATGGGAATAAAATAAAACATAAAACAAAGGTAAACAATATATTGTAGAAACAGGGACAGCTTAGAAACAAGGGCATAATTTAAAGTTTAAAATACAAAAATCATGCAAAATAAATGTGCAGGAATATGCACTACCACTTCTTTTAATTTTGATTTAAATAAGAAATAATGCTTACTTGGAAGATAGGCAAATAGAAGGTTTAATAGATGATTATTATGATGAAAAATATTATCGACTGTGATACACCAATACAATGGCACATGTTCTGTGAAATAATGAGATGGGAGAGTTTCTTTGACCCCTTGTAGGACTTGTAACCAGCGTGGCTTGCTTACTTGGCTAGTCACTGTGCTCAAATCCATCATGGGAGGGGGAGAACTCAGGTGAGCAGGTATCTGGGCCAGGGCAAGCACTTTTGGGCTCCAGCCCCACAGTAGCATCTAGGGGTTTGTTATAATTAATGCTCCTTTTGCAGTTGCTGTCTGTAGATGGCTAAGTGTTAAGCAGCTCACTGGAGAGTCAAGTTGACAGCCTTTTACACCCTACCCTCTTGATACCTGGGTTCTTGTTAGGCATCCAGGAAGCACCAGGTCACGTGAATGGTTTGAAAGGTGATGAATGCAGAGGATTTTATTGAATGGTGGAAGTGCCTCTCAGCAGAAAGGGAGCTGGAAAGGAGATGGTGTGGGAAGAAGGTGATCTCTGAGTGAAGCTGCCTCTATCTGTAGTCTCCAAGGCTCAGTTGTTTCTTCTCCTCTAGAGGTTCAGTTGCTTCTTCTCTTCTCTCCTTCTCTGCTATGCCACTCTGCTCCTCTGGCAGTGAAGCTTGGGTTTTTTATGGGTACAGGGTGAGGCGTATAGTGAGCCAAAAGGCAGCAACACTCAGGCAAGAAAATGGGGATGTGAAGGATGTGAAGTTCTCATTTAGGGCCACGGGTTTAGGTTTGAGGGTGGAATCTTTGCCAGAGACCCCGCCCTCTTTTACCCAGTATTTCCCTGTCTCCTATCCATATCAATAATAAGTTAAAAAGATTGCTAGTTGGAATCAGAATTAGAGACTTGGATGGAAATGTAAAATAAAAAGTAAAAGGTATTTCAAGAAAGGTCTTTGTAGCATGTGCATTTTTTTCCTATTGGGTTTCTTTCTAAAGTTTTTTATTTTTCCCCCACTAAAGGCAAATTTTCTTGTAAGTAACAGCTATGAACATTGTTTTCTTGTTTAGTCTAAAGTTAGTTTCTGGGGAAAAAAGCATTAGGTTGTATGAAACATAATACATATGTCAATGTTTTTCCCTTGCCTAATAGCTAAACTGTACTTATTGCTGATTTTTTCAGACTGTTTGCCGCTGCTTGCATCTCCTCCTTTCAAACATAGGGGTAATGTATATTTGACAAATGTAAAAGACTTTTTTGTCTAAGAAAAAAGGAAAATAAAACTCTTTCTCCAAAAGGAGGAAAAAAATTGGCATCAGAAAATAACATTTTGCTGTGACTACATATTCAAAATGGAACTGAAGTTATCAGCTTATTCAGGTACTGCAATCAAAATGAATATAAAGAAAGTACACACATTCTAATAGCTTCAGTGTCTTCTATGTACATTTTATTCACTATGAGCAATTTTTTCTGATTATTTTTTCCCATTGTAAAAATGTATGTGCTGAAAAAAACAACTTGCTCTTACTATGAAAATCAAAATAGAGAAATAGTAAAACTTAGTGGGAAACTTATGTCTTTTAAGGACAGACAGACTTGGGCTTGACTCATATGTGGACCAATCTTGAGGTAGTGACCTTGGGCTAGTAATTAAACCTCTTTGAATTTTTCTCATCTATTAGATTGGGCTAGTAATACCTACCTCTTACAACTATGGTGAAGTATTGTGAGGATTAAATGTGTTGAACTTGCTTGGTATGCCTGATAGATTTAATGTGGATAAATGCTACTTAACATGATGAATATTTCTTTGCTACTATGTACATAAGTTAGTAGTTGGAACATGGTAAGCATTTGGGATATTGTAGATATTAGGTTGTGATAACTCACTTTTTGCTCAATTTCAATATATTTTTAAAATTAGACATATTAGTAAAGAGATTCATGAGGAGATGTGTCATTCATTTTTCATAGAGTGGTTGAATGACAACTAACTGCTATTTCATTATTATTTATTTGAATATATGGCATAATGGCATAATATTATATATATCTTGTAACATATAAATCTAATCATGTTACCAACCTTCTTTGAAACCTAAAAAGATATTTTACTGCCTAGTTTAAACCAAAAATAAAATTTGGGGCCCCTCAACCAATTGAATAGACCCCCTTCTTGGCCAAGGAGACCGCAAAGATACCTGAAAAACTAGTTCAGGCCATGATGGAAATGGAGGGTTGGACATGCCTCATTATGCCCTTCTGCCTTTGGAGTTGTGGAAGGAAAATCAATCTCAGTACCCTAACATCACTAACCCAAAGGAAAATGTCAGGCTGGGTACTGCTTCAGGCAAACCTGCCTCTCATTCCATTCCTGTATAAGATAGCTACATAAAAGCTACATATCTCCCTTACAATTTGCCCACGAGGAAATTCCTTGTAGACAAAGGATAAGCAGAACACAAAGTCATCCCTATGCTCACATGAGACAAATGCATATGCAATTGCTTCCTTTGCTCTACTGTTTCACTAAGCCAGACAAAAGCACAAATGACTATCTCTGTAAATTGTGTATCAGTGAAAAGTTAATCAGAAACTCAAAATAATGCAGCAATTTGCCTCTTATCTACCTATGAGCTGGAAGCCCCTTCCCCACTTTGAATTGTCCTGCCTTTCAGACCAAACCAATGTATATTTTACATATATTGACTGGTGTCTAATGTCTCCCTAAAATGTATAAAACCAATGTGTAACCTGACCACCTCAGGCACATATTGTCAGGACCTCCTGAGACTCTGTCACAGGCACATCCTTAAGCTTGGCAAGATAAACCTTCTAAATTGATTGAGACTTGTCTGAGGTACTTTTTGCTTTACAGAGTTTAAACACAACTGACCAGCATTAACATTAAAACAAATCATGAAATCCACCTATGGATCCTCCTATGATCTGGAAGCCCCAGCTTCCAGATGTCTGGTCTTTCTGGGCCAAATAAATGTTTATCTTACATGTATGGATTTGTGTGTTTGCCTGTATCTTCTATCTCTCTAAAATGTATAAAACAAAGCTGTAACCCAACTAGCTTGGGCACATATTGTTAGCCTCAGAGCTCCTGAGGCTGTGTCGTGAGCCATGGTCTTTAACCTTGGCAAAGTTAACCTTCAAATTGATTAGGATGAATCTCAGCTTTTGGTTAGACTACGGAATAAAAACCAAATGCTTAAGTATTAAATGCCATGTTTTTCATTCTTTGGCTCATATAATTTTATTTAGTCATATTTCTGTGTTTCATTTACTTATTCTTTATTATTTTTGTTCCTTCCTGCATTCACTTATTTTCTTGAATTTAAATATAACTGAAGTTATTGTAAATTATATGTATAATATAATGCAGCAAAGCGTAACATTCTCTTCTAACACATTCATTGCTACTTCCCAGAAGAGACCAATACTATAAGTTTGTTATACACTCCTTTGGAACCTTGGCTTTATTTATGGAGTCAGAAAATATCTTAAAATGTTAATTTTAGCTATTTATTTTCCATACTTCCTTATATATGCTTCTCATAACCTAGGCGCCCACAATGCAAAAAGGTCAGTTATAGCAGAAAACTAGTAAATAACCTTCGACTATTTTTGTTTTTTCATTCAAAATAATTTCTTGAAGCCCTCAGCAGAAAAAAAAATAAAATAAAATACAAATCATTTAACTGAAGAGGGACATCTTTTTTTTTTTTTTTTTCATTTGGCTGGTTGGGAGAGAGGCATCTCTTAATAATCAGACAAGAGGTGAGATATGGTATATGGGCCATAATCTCATAATAATAAACTTATACCAGTTTATGTGCTATTTGATAAATATTCTGTTTTGATTTATTTGAAGCACCTGGTAAGATTGCACTTCCAATCTACCTTGTAGGTTTATGGGATTTTGTGGCAAATGCTGAGCAAGGAACTGAATGTGCTGATGGAATAGCTCTTTTTGAGGCCAGCATCTTTAAATAATTAATGCCAATATTGACAGTGACACGAGACAGACACATTCCTAGGCAGACAGGGATGAGTCCCTGGTAAAACCCGACCTTCAAGCCAAAGGCAGTTTAAAGCCTGAACACTGAGCTGCTAGTTCCAGATAGAGTTCACATCAGAGTTAGAACTTCTATCCACAGCTTACCTTCTCTCTCTTGATTGGTTCCTTCTGGATGATGCTTTTTAACCAATTGGATGGTGATTTTTTTAAAGACCAACTATGGACCAATCAGCACACATTCTTCCATTGTAAACCCAAACAAACCCAGACTCAGCCTCAATCCGCTTTCAGGGTGCCTTCTCATAGTTGAGAACTTTCCTTCTGTTGCTCAATAAAATTCTTCTCTGCCTTTCCTACTCTCCAGTGTCCACATACCTTATTCTTCTTGGTCACAGGACAAGAACTTGGAACTTATTGAGCTGTGGGCGGCTGGATTGAAAGAGCTGTAACACACTCCTGCTCGCCAGACTACAAGAGAGAGCTGTAACATGCTCTGGCTGAGCTACGAGAGTGAAGAGCTGCAACTTTTCTTGGGGGTTCAAACCTTGGGACTCCCCAAGCAAGAGCTGTAACACCCCTTGGGGCTCGGTGATTGCTGATTGCTGGCATCTCGGAGGTTTTGGGCACCAATACCTTCCCCTATTTTAGACTATGGTGCCCTGTGCAGAAGCCACTCAAAGCATGCCTGATTCAGCCTCAAGCTGAGCATAGAGCCAAGGCAGTCAAGGGATCCGGCCCAGGGAGTGAACTGACTGCAGGCTGCTGGGCTGAGCAGACAGAGCAAGTCCAGGTGGCCCTAGAAAGGCCAGGGCAGAGGCAGTGGCGGCCACAGAGATTTCCAGCTGGCAAAGTGGCACCAAAGGAATCCTGTAACAATATGAGACCCACCATAGTCATCTTTTCTTTTCTTTTCTTTTCTTTTTTCTTTTGTTTTCTTTTTATCTGCCAGGACAATTGGGCATAATACAGATGAAGGCTGTTCTACCGTTTTTTTGTTACAGAGTAATGATGACAGAGAAAAGAGTCAGCTGACCAACAATGAAAACACAGCCAGAGCAGAAAATAAGCCTTTGTGGCAAGTGACTGAATTTTGTTGTTATTACATAAGTATTGCCTAATAACTTCCAACTAAAATAATACTGCAGATATGATTCTTCTGATTTATGACTTTTGCCTGAACGATATTATGGTTGTTTAAAATAATTCACTTGGGGGACACATGCAGTCATTATATAAAAGCAAGTTGTGTATAAAGATCTCATTTTGTGACATAATAGTTGCATAAAATGAGAAAACTCTAAAAGTTTTGTTATACTGTACTCAGTTTCATAACCGTAAATAAATTATGTTTTTCACAATGTTATTGTTATGATGATGGAAGATAATTAATTATTTTCTTGTATATAGAAGCACCTAACCACATTAGGCAATACAGTAAAGCCTACTGAATATGTCAAAATAAGTAATTCTTATTTGTCACCAACCATCTATTTGAATAAATATGGCCAGTCATGAAAAAGATAAATTGAAATATCATGAATATTACTGCATACAATATTTGTTACATATTTCATCCTGTTTTTCCACAAAGGTATAAACTAATACAAATCTGGCACAGTCAATACATTTTCTCAAATGTTAAAGTATTTATTTATCCTTGTAGAGCATTTGAATATAAAGTTTCTTCTCATTTCCTGAGTTCTTCACTATGATGCATTTACAAAATAATTACTGTCAAAAGCTTCATCTGACAAGAGTGACTTGGAGTGGTAAAATTCTGCTACAATATTTATTTAATGATCTCTGACACCTACTCAGAGCAAGTGTTTTGGAATATCCCAACACTTGCTTTTGAATCTCCCAAACTGAAATCTGACACTTATTAATGAGTTATTTTATGAATGAATTTTTAATGAGATTTCTAATGAATTATTTATTTTCTGAATCTGTATTTTTCACATAGGAAATGAAGAAAAATTTCACAAACTTAATGTGTTAGTTACAAAACTGTCATCTAATAGGTCTTAATTTATCTGTACTGTATAAGTTGCAAAAAGCAATCTTTATTTTCTACATAGTATTGCTTACATCAGTAATTCAATTAATATAGCAATTGCTACTCCTTATTGGCTGATGCTGTCTCAGTTTTAATACTGTAACTCCCAGAAACCAAAGAAATTTCTATAACTCAGCACACTAAATAAGTATCAATAGATATTATGTGTTCTTCTCTTTAAGAAGCCTTAATTTCACATATATACATAGTACTGTACTGACTGAATTTTATCTCTCATTAGGCTCTTGCATGTGGCCCCTCATTTTGATAGCAAAATAATTTATTTTAACTTAAACCTGAGACTATTCTGATTATTAGTGCTTTGCCTAATTTTCAGCATCATTCTTTCAAAAGCTTGATTTATGATTGGAAAAGGGGCCTGCATTGTGTGTTAATTATTCATATTTGAGAAAACACATTTTGAAAGTGTTTATTTTTAAGCTAAGAGAAGTTAATTTACAAATAATAATATATTTAATTGATTTTGAGCCACTTTGCCTGGGGTGGGCTCCGGGAAGAAGTACTTTCAGAAATGCTCAATTGATTTTATTATTATGCAAATTTGAGAAACTATGCCCAGGAAGATAATCATTTCAATTTTTAACAAATATACTTATATTATTTATTTGCCATAAAAGTGTCATAAGAGAAATGTTGCCCTTGTTTAAAACACTACTTAGTGATAAAGAAGAACAAAATTTTGTCAGCTGTAATATGGATTAGCTTGTGGGCTGTTAAGTGAAATAAGACAGGTACACAAAGATAAGTATCACATATCCTCTCTCCTATGTGGAAGCTCCAAGAGCTGATCTCACAGTAGTAGAGAATATAATAGTGGTTACTAGAGGCTGGGAAGAGAAGAGTATGTTGGGCATAGCTGGAGATTGATTAGTGAACGTAAACGTACAGCTAGATAGCAGAAATAAGTTCTCATGTTCCATAGCACTATTTAGTGACTGTAATAAACAACAACCAATGGCATATTTTCAAACAGTTAGAAGAGCAGATTTGAATATTCTCAACACAAAGAAATAATAAATGTTTGAAGAGATGGATTGCTAATTACTCTGATTTGATTGATACACATTGCATATAGGTTTTGAAATATCATCTTGTACCTCATAAACTATTACTATTATTAGTAGTAGTAAACTAGTACTATTATTGTCAATTAAAAATAATTTTAAAGAAGTTGTCAGTATAATACATTAAAGATGTTTGTCGACTCCTATAAATGCTCTGAAAACATAAGAAAATGTATAGTTTGTTATATTGGTCCTCTTATATCCTTTTGAAAGCACAATATTTTGCATTTATAAAATAATAAAACTTAAATGTGAACATATATACATTTCTGCTATTTTCATTTGATTCATATCAATGTCGAGGAGAACTCATAAATTTGTACATGACTTTTTGCCACATGTCTTGGACGCTAATAAATGATTTAAGACAGTATAAAAATGCAACTAATTTAAATAAATAAACACTAAAAATAAGCTCTCTACAATTTCATCATTTCCATTGATATAACAGAAAAAACACATATATTCCTTTTAGATTTGTTCTTTGTATGCTGAATATTATAGAGTGAATATGAGGCTTTGTTTTGTAAGGAATGTGAGGTTTCCTGGGCTCTCAGACTTACACTATTAAAATAAAGATAGTACTGGCCAAGATATACAAGAAAATATGATAAATAAAATAATAATCTTATTTAAAAATGAAACCAACATATCTTATGAAGTGTGATATCAGGCAAGATGCTTTAGGCAAACACATGGATACTTGTAACTTCAAATTTTTCAGGCTTTATTAATACAAAGTTTTATTCATTAAAAATCTTTCTCTTACTTTGTCTTTCTCCCTCCTGTTCACATACACACAAAAATTTCTTCTGGAAGAATAAATTCATATTTTCAATATATCTAGTGAAATTATTAAACATAGATCAATAAGGAAGAATTTATTACTCAGAATAAAAGTACATTTAGTTCTTTATGTGGCCAAATGCCCCTAGGGCAATTTCGCTTTCATAAATATTGGGTAAAGTATTTAAACTGTTGCATAAATTGACATCTTTTAATTTCCTCCCAGCCTCATTTTAATCCACATATTTCAAATTCAGTGCTCCTAACAAATGAGATACACTTTCTGTCTCCTAAACATTCATAGTCTTTTTAACAAATAATTTACATTTCTTGCATATACTCTTGATATTTTGCTCTGATGCTTTACGTTATTGTTTGTGAACTAGAACAGCGATTATAAATATAGTACTAATGAATAAGTCTATCGAAATCATTTTCTACCCAAGTGACACATAAAATTTACATATGTTATATGTCTATTAACTGAAAACTTCCTAAAAGACATCAGAAATAAAACTGTTGATTAAATAGTTATTTGTATTAGTCAAATATTCTTTACATCAGAAAACCACAGGGACAGTGTTCGTGGTATCTCAAATGGGCGATGCAGAAGGAGGATAATGATAAAACCTTAGGGCCTAAAGTAAGACATTTTAGGATGGCTCTTGCATACCAAAGGACTAAGTGATGTTGTGCAGACTTTTATGCAGTTTTCTTTCTTTCTGTTTTTGTTTTTGTTTTATTTTTATTTTTTTAGATGGCACATTGAAGCAAAAGTCTTCATGCAAGTCTTGATAAGCTGTTCACATCATGAAGAAAGCTATTTGAGGGAGTTCACAGTTTCAACTCTGATCACCACTTTTTCCCCCTGAAACAAGTAGCTAAGATATTTCTTGTCATCGGCAGTATTTAACACAGGCCAAATAGAGCATCCATGATTCTAGTATTGTTTCACAAAGACACAGAAACAAATGTTGCTTTAACTTTCTTTGGTGTAATGGTAATAATTCTATGCGTGGTCTTTTACCTAGTATCTATTGACTTAATTTAGAATAGCAGTATAGACTAATGTTTGGACATCTCCACTCTTCAGTCAAAAGTGATGTATTTAAATCCCAACAATGAAACTAAGATATGTGACCATGGCAAGTTACTTAAACTCTTTAAGATCATCTCTACTATTCTGAAAACATTCGCTGTAATAATAAAATTTTAAAATATTGCATGTGTATTATTCATATAGGCCATGAAACATGGCAACTGCTTTAAGTATTAGATAATATATAAATAATATTTCTAAAATTGTTATAACCTATTAGTGTTATTAGCATAGGCTGTAGTACATGGTAAGTGCTGCCTATTACTAGGTAACATATATACATATATTATATTAATATATAAATGTGTTATATCCCACTAGTGTTATATTTTTGCTTTTTAAAATTATTGCACCTGTTGCACACATTAATTTGTTTATATGAAACATATAGGACTGTTATTCTTAAAACATGTGCCACCATTGAACAACTAATAAATAAACAGTCAACCTGACACTAATGAGAAAAAGGAATTAGTTAAAAGTCTATTTCGTATGTGTCACTACTACTATGATATCAATGTTTGCACCTCATAAATGATAGCTATATGACAGTAAAAATGATGTGGATTGATAAAATAGTGGAATCTGTTTTAGTTATTTTAAGAGTTGAAATCTCCAAAAAATGGGGAGATTATTCCAGGTGCATATTCCATAACAGACACCTCTACAATGGGGGAGTAGAAATAAGAAAATGCATGGTATTGTGAAGTGATAGCTTAAAATTGTGTTACAAAAATGAATTGAATTATGATGTCAAAGGGAAATCAGATAGAAAGCACAGCAATATTACCTGGAATTTGCCAAATTCTTCTACTCTTCCCCCCAAAAATGCCTGGCACATACTATGTGTTCCAAATAAACATCCTTACTGTATTAGTTTTCTAGGGCTGCCATAACAAAATACCACTGATAGGGTGGCTTAAAAAACAGAAATTGGTCAGGTGCAGTGGCTCACACCCGTAATCCCAGCTCTTTGGGAGGTCAAGGAGGGTGGATCATGAGGTCAGGAGATCGAGACCATCTTAACTACCACAGTGAAACTCCGTCTCTACTACAAATACAAAAAATTAGTCAGGTGTGGTGGCACGCACCTGTAGTCTCAGCTACTTCGGAGGCTGAGGCAGAAGAATTGCTTGAACCTGGGAGACAGAAGTGGCAGTGAGCTGAGATCGCACCACTGCACTCCAACCTGGGTGAAAGAGCAAGACTCCACCTGAAAAACAAAAACAAACAAACAAACAACAACAACAACAACAGAAATTGATTTCTCGCATTTCTGAAAGCTAGAAGTCCAGGTCAAGTTGTTGGCGGGCTCAGTTTGTTCTGAGGCCTCACTGTGTCTTTCCATGGTCATCTCTCTGTGCATGTACATGTCTGGTGTCACTGTGTGTACGAACTTAGTCTTCTTAAAAGCACATCAGTCACATTGGGTTAGTCCCATCCTACAGAACTAATGTTTACTTATTTTCCCTTTTAAAGATCGTATCTCCAAATATGATTACGTTTTGAGGTACTGAGGTTTTAACACTTCAACATATTAATTTGGAAGGCAGTGCACAATTCAGCCCATAACACTCATCCTCCTTGTTTTTAAAATAACACTAAATGGGAAGAAGGAAAGACTACATTTTAGTGAGTCACAGTAGCCAATGTGTCAGAATAAAAGTAAGATAAAGGATACATCACTGCAACATCTTGGTAGAAAAAAAGTTTCCAAAAAATTAAAAGGCTTTAGACAGCTGAAATAAAAATAACACTTACTTTCTCTGACTACTATTGAGAATATTAGTATTCTAAATCACTTCTCCATATCAATCTGAGTGGTGCACAAGATTTCAGTATTCACTTTATTATGAATAATCTAGATGGTCTCATGTCTATTGATGTTAATTACCAAGGCAATTATTCTGTTTAATTTTATCAAATTTTTATGGCTTGATTTCTACCAGTAGTATTTTTGATAAATTGTGTTATATGTCTCTGAATTTTCACCAAGATCTCAAATGTGGTAAATGGTTTTTATCTGAAGATATCCTGGAGACCTCCTCTGAATTCAGCTGATCATCTTAGCAGGATGCCTACATACTGAACATGACATTTTGCAGTACAATTCATGTTTTAAAGTCTTCTCTTATACAATGCTACAGAATAACTACATGAGGCATTTTCTTGGGTGAAATACATATCCAAATAGTGATTTCATGTCAGTATCAAAGTATTAATATAGAAGTTCAATTATATCAGTTCTTTATGATGTCATCTTAAAAATTATTTAGAAAGTACACTCTTGACCCAGATGGCAAAGTCCTGAAAATGTAATATTAATGACTCCTTTAGGATGCTAATATTCCAGATAACATTTATATTTTTGAGTATGGCAGATAATGGTAGTGAGAAGTGTAACTGCATTTATGCCACATTTGTTTGAATGCCTTGCTTTAGGTAATGGGGGTTGTCAGAAGAATAATTCCGGCATGTATTTCAAAGCTTTGAAAGGGCTGAGTGGGCTTCGCTGGTTTCATTTCAAGAGAGAAGGAAAGTCTCATGGCACATGAAGTGCTGGAAACAGGAAAGCTGATATCAGATAACATCATTATACAACACAAGCGGTTCTGCTTATCTGTTCTGTTTCAAAGAGTCAGGCTATATTCAATTGATTGAGTATGATTTGAACTGAAGAGAAAAATTGCATGGTTGTATCCCACCCTTATTCTTGACTTTTTTTTTTTTTTGCACTAGACTACAGTTTAATAAAAAGAAAAAAAATCAGTCAAATAGACTTTAGACACAGCAATATTTCATATCTACAAATCATAGTGAGATAATTGCAACCTAAATCAATGTAGCAAAATTTGGTGAGAAAAGGTAAAATCACAAATGTTTAACCATAGTGATTCCTGACATCTTCTGCTGAAATGGAAAAATAATACAAAATCAGGAAATATGTTTGAAAGTGATAGTGAGAACATTTACAAATTTTCTTTTTTAACTTTTCTCAGGAAGAAAAAAATGTCTTAAATTGTAGTGTTATTGGTTTCCCTGGTGAAGTATCCTTATATATTTTGCCTAGGGAATCATTACTTGTCTCCCCAACTTCTACAGAGGAAAAGAAAATTAATTACAAATGACACATTTAGAAACCATTATAAAATAAATCACAAAGAGGATAATGTTAGTATGAACGATGAACAATTTGAAGATCTGGCAAAATAATCAAAATTGTAAATTATCTTTTCTACTTTAATATTTATTGAAGTATTGACTACGTACAGAAAAGGGCAGTCATTAGAAGAACACAGTTTGCTGAATTGTCACAAATTAGACACACTTATATATCCATGAGATCTCTTTGAATAAAACAAATCTATTTGCTTTAAATGAATTTGTTTCCATCTTAGATAGCTAGACATATGATAGAATTAGTTTTCTCTTACTGCATAACAAATTGCCCCTGAAAATTCATGATTTACAGCAAGAATAAATGTTTATTATCGCTTACAGTAGGGGTCTCCAACTCCCGGGCCGTGGACGGGT